ACAACATCTCGAAAATGACGTAAGAGTGTAACGTGGACGTAATCACATAAAATAGAATTTGGTAGTGGAACATCGAGAAGTTTTTCTAAAATACTTTTGCCGAGATGACCAAAGATATTTTTCCCTTGATTCTCGGCTAATGCTGAATCTGAAACAAACGATTCTCGTGTACGAACATCTATCGGTTGTGTATATGGGTACTAGCGTTTGCGACAACGTTTATCATGAACACCTTTAAGTTTGCAATAAAAGCAGCAATAATACCCTGTGTGTCCGATCATGTTCAGAATTATTTTCAGGGCGGGGCAAGCACCAATAACGCCATAACAAATGATATTGTATTCTGATGATGGTAATGATGGATTAGGTGATTCAGCTTAAAAAAGGGAGTTTTCACACAAGTACTCACTAAATTCAAAAACCAGGTATAACCGAAGAAAAGTAGCATTCGATCACTATACTTATTGGTAGTCACAAAAAGTATTCAGTCAAAATTTGTTTTCAAGTTTTCACATTAACGAACGAAAATACATCACCCACTAAATACTTGGCGATCATCCGATGTTTTTCGGAAGATAGACATGCAGAAAATATTCCACAATTTCTGCATGACTATTTAACGTGAATTTTCTGAAGTGCCCAATCGGTTACGTTCTTATCTATCTCTTGTTTCCAGAGCTGTTAATTGATCAATACGTTATTAAAATTATTACTATGATGATCAAAAAACACATTTAAAAAAAGTAGATTAAGAAAAAGGTGAATCATTACTCTTCAGTTTGTCACAGGTCTAATTTTTACGGACCCCTGAAAGAACAAGTGATTTTTTCCTATTAACAGAAAAGGTGATCTTGTCAACATTTTCTGTTTTCCCAAATCGGACACCAGAAACAGAAAGACACAAGGTAACATTTTCTTCTAATTAACAGAAACATTACTCAGGTTATAGCTCCCAATGATATCGGATAGCTAGCAAGCCGGGCCAATATACCAAGTAGTTAGTGCGTTTCCAACGTGTAATGAAGTGAGCCGAATCTTTCTCGATTCCCGTACTTTCTTCTTATATACGTTCAAGTCAGAACCCAAATTTTCACGAATGTGCAATAGGTAAAAAGCAATGGTAATCATACCATCTTGTTTAATGAATTTTAACATATCAAAACAGGAACTTAGCCATAATTTCACATGTGGTTCCGTGTGACCAATATAAATCGATAATAATGGCATATTGTGCCTTCTGGATCGGATGTTAGGTGGTAATTCGATTATTGCTGCACTACATAACCACATCTTCAAATTTGTAGATTTAACTAAACCGATACCATCAAGTTGAATCAATAAACTTAATAAATTTTGTTTCATTCGTTGTTTTAAAAGCTGTTGATAAATTTGTCCAAATGGGATGTCATAATGCTCTACTTCATTTGGATTTAGTGCTGAGATTTGTTGTTTATATTGGTGAATTTCTATCGCTAATCTTGATACAATTACTGATAATAGTGCTGGAAAATTTGTATCATAAATTTGAGCTGTATGTTTAGCTTCAGCTGTTGGACATTTATCACATATAGTTTCTTTGTTGTTAAGCAGTCTTTTACACAATATACAAACAGTGCGTTTGTAAAAATAATTTGTAATATTCAAGATTGTTAATAATTCACCCATCGTATTGGGCATTGCATTCGGTTGAGGCAGAATATTATTAATAAATGACTGAAAACGTTGCGCTTGATGTTTACTAATTTGTGAATCGCGTACTAATTGTAAGAATTCTATGCAAACATTATTTGTTCCTAACATTGTATGAGAATGTAATGCTTCATTATTTATACGTGTTGTACAAATCTCGTTATTATCCTCATTATTACTGTTATCGTCTAATTAAGATAAAAAGAACATATTGTTGCGATTTTGCGGGTAGTTTGTCCGCCTAAAGAGTGGTCCATAAAAATTTAATATTTAACTCAAAAGATAGAGAATTTAATTCTCTAGGAAACTGCCCATTTTGTTTTGAAATTATTTTCAGCAAAATTTCAGCAGAATATTCACGATATTAAAATATTCTGATTTTCTACAACGGCACAGAATAAACTTAACTTCTTTAGCAAAGCGTTGCTGATCTCTCAATTCAACTTACAGATAATTATTTTAACGTCAAAAGATGCAGAATTTTATGTTGTACAATCTGTCCCTATTTGTGTTAACCCTTTCGGGACGGGTGGTACACCATATGTACCTCTCGTTCCGAAAGGATGAAAAGCGACCTTAGAACAATTTTAATGTTTTTCAATTAGTGAATTTTGTAAAACGAAACAGGATGAAGTTTCTCACAAACTTTCAGTCAATACTGAGATTTTTTCGCAGAGATAAATGAACTTCAATGGACCAAAAAATTGAATTTTAAGAAAATTCGATTTTGTGAAACATTATGAAGCCTATGACTTTTACAGGTAGAGGTGATAGATATTAAGTGCCCTAGGGGGTTCTGTAGAGGAAAGAAAGCTGCATCCAACTATAGGATCAACCATCGTGAAAAGTTAAAGCGCATCATATATTTCAGAAACACTATACAGTGACCCTCTCCTTTGTGGGCCAGCAGCGGGCCTTTCGAAACTCTCCCATTTCTACTAGGACAATTTCAATAAAATGCTATATCAATTGTGGGAACCTATACAGAAAAATGCGCTCTTTCACGCCGGGTATGTCAAAAAAAATGGGAGCGGTGGCAGATTTGCGGTTCTATCCGACGGCCTTCTCTTCTTTTTCGAAAAAATAATCCCGTCCCGAAAGGGTTAAATGATTATTCTTTTTTGCGAGAAGGAAAGCCCTATTGACTGACTTACGTACAAAATCCATATTATCGGCATTTTGCCCTCAAACTCAAAATTTAAAGCCATGCATTTTATATCAGAAGATGCAGAATTTCGCACTTTACAAGATCACATACACCAGAAAAGAAAATGCTAAATGTAATTTTAAAAGTGTAAAATAATATTAGGTGCTACTAAAGATGGATCCTCCTAAACTCCTTTGAAACTTTCATGAGAAACTCTTTCGAGAGCCACCTCGACTTAGAAGGATTTTGCTTTGCCACATGAAGTATGGAACTTTGTACAGAATTTCGCGCTGAATTTAATGGTGTATTGTGTTTTGATTAATAAATCTTTTTTAGTCGCTACGCTAAGATATACGCTAAGAATAACTTCAATTAGACAGGTGATCAATTTTCATAACGTAACATTTTAGTATTTTTATTTATACAGCGATGATTCAAAATTAATTTAAAAATAAAATCGACAGTTTCCTAGAGAATTAAATTCTCTATCTTTTGAGCTGAATATTAAATTTTTAAACACAAGTCAATATAGATAAAAATTTAATAGAAAAGTGGCTTCAGGACTTCTGGACCACCCTTTATATGTCCTGCGAAGTTAATAGTTAGTTTCGTCAAGGATACTCGCCTCGATGACCAGATTTGCCTCAAAAGACTAATATGGTGACAAAAAAGGGAGCGGTGATACAGAAAAAAATATACATGTTGAATTATTTTCAGCTGTATCAAATGTATCAATAAGATCAAAATCTATATCACTATATTCCTCTTCCTCTTGACATTGCGGTTCAGTTGTATCATCTAGGTCGTACGTTTGAGCTAAATAAGGATCAATATCGAATGATGTTGCTGTAGAGTTAACATTTTGACTTGTAAATAAACTTTTTGTTGTGATTATAGCAACAGTTTCTTCATTTTTATTTTGTTTATCAGACAGATTGTTATTTGATATTTTTGTATAATTATCAATGTTGAATGATTCTCGTTTATGCTGTTTATAATGTAATTTCTGGTTTTCCAATCTTGTCATTTGTTTTTGACGACCGGCTTCAATATCTTCATCGATTAAATTATTAATATTTATTGCGTTATGTTTATGATCTACCTATCGGCATTTTGGCGAAACAATACAAAAAAGGAGAAAAATCTTTTAGGTACAACCACAGGTACATTAGCTAGTACGTGATGAGTGTGTATCTGAAGTAATTGGGTGAAAGAAGTGTACGTCGGACTAGTCTTCTGAGCAGAGCTGCAGCTGATGACTAGTAACGATATGGTGAGAAGCTTGTCAACTGTGTGGAAGATAACGGGCTATAGAAACTGGCACTTTTTAGCACCCTATATCGGTAACGATAGCCACAAGGCGGGGTATCCTTCTTTCTTTCCTTTCTTCCTTAAGTATACTTATAATACAAATGTGTCCTGCAGTCGAAGAACAGTTAGCTTTCTAGCTCTTTCATTGAATAAAAGATTTTATTCACAATTTCTGTCAAACTTTCGAGCCTATTGAAGCTATCTATCTTGGTTGAATTTGTCATTACTCTAAGGGTCAGAGGTGCAGAATCTACCCATGAGATTAGAAAATTTCCCTCGACAGAAAAAGTTTTTCAAAAAATTCCCCGACATAATCCACGAACAGAATTTCTTTTGCAATATATTTGCAAAAAAGAACTTCCAATTTTTCAAAAAATTTCCCCAAATCAATAAGTTTTGCCCCGACAACCGTCGGAGCAAACAGGCAGATTCTGCAGCTCTGCTAAGGATGCTACGAAAAGACTGAGTATAAAAGGGCGAACTGAGATTTCGGAAAAAGCAATAGTATCTGTTTAGAGTTGGAAATATTAGAAAGCAATCAAAGAGTTTTAAACCCAAAACTAAGAATCAATAGCACTTTACAAAGCATATAACGATCATGCACAGTGCAGACCAAAATGCAATAATCTGACGTGAAATGGATAGAGAGAACTTAACCCGAATCGGCGATTCCAACAGCACGAGCCAGTCGGAATTTGTCGAAAAACTAGTGCAAAATTCAGTGCGTTTTCTCACTCTCTATGTGCGTTTACTTTGAGATTCTGCGCAGTTTGATAAGCAAAGGATGAGTCTGATAATCCTCATTGCTTTCCCACAATTTTGTCAGGCAGAAAAGCAAATGTGGTTAACAAAGCGTGTCCCATAATCTAAGCACATAAGCGTACAGCACTACTGATCAACTCGAAACGCACAAACACTAGTTAAAAATGCATCAGAAAATCCGCGTGATTGCTCACACACCCGCATTTTAATTTTGTTCGCCATCTTGTGATAAGCGANAATTAGCGTTTCCACTGAAGGAAACTAAAATTCCAGTTAGCACAAGCGTCTGCTCAATAAAAACTGCATTGTTTTTCGAATATAACTGCAGATGTAAAAAAGCATGCAAATTTGCTTTATCGATTATACAACTGTATTGTGGCGACACGTATACATACATTATACTTGTCTAACAAAAAAATATAATTAAGAACTCAAAGTACTTCTTTAGTAGAGAAAATCAAAGCCTAGTATCCAATAAACATTCACTAAATTATTCATCATGGAAACAAACTAATAACTTTGATACTACAACATTCTTATGAAATCCTACGATATCCTATAGTAAGAATTTATAGGATTCATACAATAAGATCATGTAGGATTCTTACCATAGGATCCTATACGAAACATCACATAGTCCTACAGACAGACTTCGAGGATAATCCTATCATAGGAAATAATAGGATTCCATAGGATCCTACGATAGGAATCCTGTAAGATCCTACATTTTATAGGATCTTGTAGGATCTGACAGGATCCTACTAGGATTGTTTGACCTGGGAAGTTATATTGTTTGCGTACGAGCTAT